AGCTTCCATGTATTATATCCCCTTTTACAGCATAAAACAGAGATATACAGGAGGCATGTCTTTATGGTCTATATTATAAGTTGTACAGCGGGATGTAATGAATGGGAACTTCTTAACAGATTAGAGAGATGGGCCAAAACTAACAAAATGAAGTTCAACAGTGACAAATGCAAGATACTCCACTTAGGCAGAAAAAAATGAAATGCAAAGATACAGAATGGGGGACGCGTGGCTCGAGAGTAGTGGGTGTGAAAAAGATCTTGGAGTCCTCGTGGACAACAAGTTAAACATGAGCCAACAACGTGATGCGACGGCAAAAAAAGCCAATGGGATTTTGGCCTGCATCAATAGGAGCATAGTGTCTAGATCTAGGGAAGCCCTGCTACCCCTCTATTCTGCCTTGGTTAGACCACACCTGGAATATTGTGTCCAATTCTGGGCTCCACAATTGAACAGAGATATTGGCAAGCTGGAATGTGTCCAGAGGAGGGCAACTAAAATGATCAAGGGTCTGGAAAACAAGCCCTATGAGGAGCGGCTTAAAGAGCTGGGCATGTTTAGCCTAAAGAAGAGAAGGCTGAGAGGAGACATGATAGCCATGTATAAATACATGAAAGGAAGTCATAGGGAGAAGGGAGTGGACTTGTTTGCTGCTGCCCTGGAAACTAGGACGCGGAACAATGGCTTCAAACTGCAAGAAAGGAGATTCCATCTGTATATGAGGAAGAACTTCCTGACTGTGAGAGCCATTCAGCAGTGGAACTCTCTGCCCTGGAGTGTGGTGGAGGCTCCTTCTTTGGAAGCTTTTAAACAGATGCTGGATGGCCATCTGCCGGGGGTGCTTTGAATGCAATTTTCCTGCTTCTTGGCAGGGGGTTGGACTGGATGGCCCATGAGGTCTCTTCCAAGTCTATGATTCTATGATTCTATTTGCAAATGATTTTTTTCTCTGGGTAACGTGGACAGTTTTTCTCAGAAACCTACACATGACAGAAGGGGATCAATGCACTATTGCTCAGATAGCAACCAACTGGAACTCATCCCAATCACACACCTATGAATGACCCAGTTGACAACTCTCCCTTCCCTCATTGTATCTGGACAACTAGTAATTGATTTCATGAGCAAATGTGTGTTGTGCATAATCGTATTAGTGCACATCAGTTCACAAAGGAAACATGATAAAAATGCCATAAATGTACTCCTGAAAATGCTGAATAGGTACAAGTGGGGACCTAGCTGTATGCAAATCAGGAGCATGATGTGCAAGCGCTGATCACAGAGGCAGGGCAGGATGCAGTTCCCAGGGGAAGTGTCACAGCCAGGCTTGTTGCTGCGAAATATCTTTTGAAACCTTATGATGAAGAGTGGTTTAGAAACATCCAAATCATCTTCTAAAAGAAGATGTTCACACTAGCACATCTCTGGAAATAGTATTCAGCACTCATCGCTTAATTCAGTGGTCGTTGGCATCCATTTGGCATTTGCTGTGAGCCCTGCGTGCGTACTCTCGGAGGCTGTCGTATCTCTCAGCTTTCAAAGAGAATCTTGTTGTGTTGTGGAATCAGATATCGTTTAAGTGACAATGAAATCAACACACACACAGCATTTGCATTGGCGAAAAGGCACTGAAGAGGAGCGAGAGGACAAAGTAAGCCCTGACTTCATAAGGTGGTGTTGCTTCATTTCCCTTTTTCCAAGAACATGCGAGTTGGATAGTCTCCCAAAATATCTTTTGCAAGAAGAGAAATAGGTTGAAGGTGACTGTTGAGAAACACTGGTGAGGGAGAGAAGTTAAGATTCTTCTATATGTGGTTGTATTGGGATTTACTGAACAGTGTTGCCCTTAAATTTTATTCCTTTTCTGTGGCTGAGTAAGGTTCGTCTCACTCAACCAATGTGTGGATCCCACTAAGTGTTGTGCTGTGTCTGCTTGTCTAATCATTTTTTTATTTAGCTTCATCTATATAAATAAAAGGGAGTCCCAGTGCGCAGTGGGTTAAAGCACTGAGCTGCTGAGCTTGTTGGCCAAAACGTCGCAAGTTCGATTCCGGGGAGCGGCGTGAGCTTCCACTGTCAGCCCTAGCTTCTGCCAACCTAGCAGTTCAAAACATGCACATGTGAGTAGATGAATAGGTACCGCTCCGGTGGGAAGGTAATGGTACTCCATGTAGTCATGCCAGCCACATGACCTTGTAGGGTGTCTATGGACAACGCTGGCTCTTCGGCTTAGAAATGTAATTGAGCACCACACCCCAGAGTCAGACATGACTGGACTTAATGTCAGGGGACAACATTTGCCTTTTTATATAAATAAAAATGTAATGTTAGTTTGTGGGATTAACATAACTCAAAAATCACTGGACGAATTGACACCAAATTTGGACACAATACACCTATCAGGCCAACGAGTGACCATCACTCATAAATGAAAAACACAGCAGAAAGGACTTAAAAAGACAAAAAAGCAAAAAGATGCTACAACGCATGCGCAAAAATGACTCCCCTGGCAAAAACACACACACACACACAAAATTGCATATCCACACTCTCTTCTAGATTACAGCTCCCAGCATTCCCTAGACCAGGCCCTTTAGGAGAGGAAGATGATCCAAATGCACTGCTTCCAAGCTGCAAGCTTTCTTCTCCTTGGATTTCTTTGAGAGCATCCCAATCCCTGCATATTTCCAATTGCCTATTCCTGGACTGCAACTCCCACCAATCCTCCAGATAGATAAGATTAGATAGATAGGTAGATAGGTGGGTAAGTAGGTAGGTCGATCAGAAGGACTGCTGGGAGTTGCAGTCGAAGAATAGGTAGAGAAGGAAGAAAGGGAGAAAGAAGAAGGGAAATAAAAGGGGGGAAGGAAGGGAAGAGGAAGAGAAGGGGAGAAGGGAAGAAAAAAAGGGAAGGAAGGAGAAAAAGAGAGAAAGAGGGAGGGAAGGTTGGCCACAGCAACGTGTTTTATATATTTTCTTATATTAATATTTAATGAGAGTGGATTATAACTTGCTATAAGTCACAAACTGCACAAGAAGTGGAACAGAAATAACTTTTTAACTGTTAATATTTGTGTATGCCTTTTACCTAAGCTGTGCCCCTAGTGAGAAACTTATGTTAGGGTGTGAAACCCGGTTTGCTACAGGTTGAGTCTTGTCTTTCCACTTCCAAGATGAACTTTTGCACAGATGTTGATGACTACTCCTTCCATTGTGCCTTACTATTATTACAGCTGGTTATCACGGATGTGAAATTTAGGCCCTTTCTATATGGCCATATAAAATCCAGATGATCTGCTTTGAACTGGATTATATGGCAGTGTAGACTCATACAATCCAGTTCAAAGCAGATAATGTGGAGTATCAGATTTGATAATCTGGATTATATGGCAGTGTAGAAGGGGTGTCAGGTTTACACTGACTTCAGAGTTACAGTCTTGCCTAGTGGATTATGCCCATAAGGAGAAAGTTAAATAACTTTCATGATAAATGGTCTCTGTTTGTCTTGCATTTTTGAACAGCCTGTTGTTTTGGATTAGTGCAACATTTTTTTTCCTGTTACTTACCTGTATTGCACATATTAAAACTTGTGCACCAGCTGTGCCCGTACCTTGGGAAATCAGACTTGGCCATGGTGGTCCAYGCTCTCGTTACATCTAGGATAGACTACTGCAACACACTCTACATGGGGTTGCCTTTGAAGACTGCTCAGAARCTTCAARTAGTCCAACGAGAGGCAGCCAGGCTAATAACTGGGGCRRCATACAGGGAGCATACAACTCYSATGTTACGCCAGCTCCACTGGCTGCCAGTTTGCTACTGGGCACAATTCAAAGTGCTGGCTTTGGCCTATAAAGCCCTAAAYRGCCCCGGCCCAAATTACCTGTCCGAACGCATCTCCCCCTATGAACCATCAYGGAGATTAAGAYCATCCGGGGAGGCCCTGCTTTCCGCCATTGTCACAGGCACGATTGGTGGGGACAAGAGACAGGRCTTTCTCGGTGATTGCTCCCCGGCTATGGAACTCCCTTCCTGGTCTGCCCCCTCCCTCCGATCCTTTAGAAGGATGGTAAAAACTTGGCTGTGGGACCAAGCTTTCAGGACAGTGGCAATAGGAAAGATGACCATGCCAAAATACTAGATTTGATGTGGATGATTAGGACAGTTTTAAATGGTGTGTTTTAATATTTTGATAATGTTTTTTAATGTTTATGTATTATATGCGAATTTGTGTCCCGGCATTGAATGTTTGCCGTGTATATGCTATGCTACGCCCTGAGTCCCCTTCGGGGTGAGAAGGGCGGAATATAAATGTTTTAAATAAATAAATAAATATCCCCATATGTAGTATATAAAAATGTGATATGTAGAATCAATGAAAGTACTCAATATTCCATGGGGCTAAAATGACATACAATCTACCAGGATAATATGCAAGAATACACTGGATCTTCCACAACATGACAGAATTTTGTGATGCACCCAGAGGATTTCTTCAGCAAATAAGCCTACACAATGAAAGTTCCATGTGTATGTTGAACATTCAGAAATTATCTCCAAGTGCATTACACTCCAAGCTAGAGAGAAGTCAAGTACACAGAAATAATTCCTTGTTTATTTTAATGTTTGTATGCTTTGAATTTTAGTTTACATATTGTAAGGTTTTTATTTTTAGCTGCTTTGAGTCTCCTTTGGGAGAGAAGAAGCGGGAAATAAACACTTTAGAAAACCATACTCTCAAAAACTCATCAAAAACACAGCTTTTCAAATTGTGAGAAATTCCAGGTTTCCCCCATCTGTGGGGAGAGAATACACAACATAGTTACTGTTTTGTATTGGGTCAATTCTCATGACAAAACATAATACAATAATTGTGTTTTGACCCTGAGGTTATTACACGCACTCTATTTTTCTTAGTAAGCCATGACCCCATTCATGTTTCCTTGTTAAGTGTGTTTTATTTTTTGAAAGAGCCCTAAAAGAAAGGAAGCCAATAGCAATTTTGGAAGAATTGGAAGGATGCCCTCTTTTATTTTCTTAGATGTGAGCAATGGAGGTGAGCTGAATGAAAAATAATAAAGCCACCAAACCATCTTCTTGTTTCTCTTCCTCAGACATGTACATTACATTAGCAAAATGAGTTAAAGGGTCAAGATATCTGTTGCCTTTCCCAGCATGGAAAGGGCAAGTTACGATACAAGTTGCCGCAGGAAGCAATACACTAGGCTGCCCAACCCAGCTGTTGCCACCACAGCCAACAGGCGCACCCAGAGAAAGTCCAAGGAGTCCTCCAATGCCGCGTGCAACTTCAGGACCTGCCTCCTTGTGGCTTCAGGATCGCCCGAGTTGTCGATGACATGCTTGGCCATCTTGACTTTCTGGTCAAGGGGCAGCTGGGCAGCAATGCGTGCTTCTGCCTCAGCCTGGGTCAAACCGTTCCTTCGCATCAGGCGAGAAAGCTGGGATTGCGGGTCACTGACAGAGGAAGGAAAGATACATTCCGTTCAGAGGCAAAGTCAGAAAGCTCCAATGATTTCTTTATGTATCAAAGTATCTATCTACTAGGCCTGGTCAATTCATGGTTCTAAATGGTTCTAAAGTACTTACAAAACTAAAGTTCTGGTGGTGAAAATTTCAGAACTCTAACAAAACTTTCAAAAAATAATTATTATTTCATTATTGGTGATTTTTATGAAAGAACCAATTAGGAACTGCCATTTATAATGAAATTTTGAGAGTTTTGTTAGAGTTCTGAAATTTACATCACCAGAACTTTAGTTTTGTAAGTACTTTAGAACCATTTAGAACCATGGATTGACAAGGCCTACTATCTACCTATTCATCTATTCCCACAACATTTCCTTTTCCCAAAGAAATACAACTTGCAGCTTGAATTGGGTAAATGTATGTGGGCAACTGCTGCTCTCCAAAGTTATTGCACAGTAGTACAACTCCCAGCATCTCTTCTCATCACGGACCAATGACTTGGTCAGATAGAAGATTATGCAAATATTCAAATCATTCCCTATCTCAGGGCGGCATGCAAAGAAAATAAATATAAGCAGATGGAAACAATTTAAAAGATAGTTTTCATACATTGTGACTCAAGTACCCACGTGACTAGTACCTATATCCAAGAAAACATACCCTCTCTAGGAGTCTTCTAGGTCCTTCATGCCATTCTATGGTATTCTTCTGCAAGAAGTCACCATAGAGTCGCTATGAAGGAGCTAGAAAATTCCTAAAGAGGATACCTTACATCCCCTTTGTCCCCTTTGTTATATATTTTTATTAGATTTTTCCAACACAAATATAATACCATCACACCCGCTCATTGTCAGAAATTCAGTTGCTAAATTACATTCTGAAAACATATCACATACCACGTATCACATATCACATTATAATTTCCTAATGCTCTTATCTGTCTCCCCTTCACCTTACCCTTGTGTTTTATGATTTTACACCCCTCCTCCCCCCACCCACCCCCCTTCAGGGAACAGTATATACCTTAATTCAGATCTTAATTTAATTGAACAAATGTAAAAAGAGAATGGTTTAACATCTTATATTTTTCTTTTCCTTCCACTTTTTCAATCAGTCTTTCCCATTTCTGCATCCAAGTTTTCTTAAGTCTGCTTGTTGTGTATTTGCTTCTTTTTTCATGGATGTACTCCTGGAGCATGTATTCTGCTAAATACTCATACCATTTTTTAACCTCCAATTTTCTATAATCTTTCCAGCCCAACGCCACAGTTGCTTGGGCAGCTTGGGCCGCTCCCCTAAAATGTTTGTCCCCATACTGTATTCTCCCAGTTTGAAGGCTTGTCTCCAGCACTCAGTTTCCAATTATTCTCTCCCGCACAAATATTTCCCGTTTCATTTCTATCTCATCCTGAGTTTTTATCATTTTATCTTGTTCATGTGGCCTGCTCATTGTGATTGCTTTTGGCACTGTTTTATTGTATTTCTTATGTTTTATTTGCTTTGTTGTGATGTTTGTTTTGTGGTTTTGGTTTGATTTTGTTGTAATGCACTACTGGGCTTGGCCTCATGTAAGCCACCTGAGTCCCCTTCGGGGAGATGGTGGAGGGATATAAATAAATTATTATTATTATTATTATTATTATTATTATTATTATTATCATTATTATTATTATTTGAAACACAACAAGATGAGTCCACAGCGGACACTCTGCTGGCTGTTGTATTGGATCACACGTCAGACACTTCCCAAGTGTCTAGGACTGTGTGATGTATCGGCGAATAATGCATGCAGATCCCAGTAAGGTGGCCTTTTGCAGCTGGCAGATGGTAATTTTGTCAGCGCCGATTGTGTTTAAGTGCAGGCCAAGGTCTTTCGGCACTGCACCCAGTGTGCCGATCACCACTGGGACCACCTTGACTGGCTTGTGCCAGAGTCTTTGCAGTTCGATCTTTAAATCCTCGTGTCATGTCATTTTTTCCAGTTGTTTCTCTTCAATCCTGCTGTCACCTGGGATTGCAACATCGCCAATCCATACTTTGTTTTTTAACACGATCGTGAAGTCAGGAGTGTTATGCTCCAAAACTCTGTCTGTCTGAATCTGGAAGTCCCAGAGTAGCTTGACGTGTTCATTTTCTATAACTTTTTCTAGCTTGTGATCCCACCAGTTCTTTGTTGTTGTTGTTGTTGTTGTTGTTGTTGTTGTTATTATTATTATTATTATTATTATTATTATCTCTATGTCCTCCATAGTGAATGTATACTGATTTCTGCTAGAAGCCATTTATTTCAATAGGATTGGCTATTATCCAGTATTTCCTGTTTATTTATTAATTATTATTGTTTACTATATTTGTATCCCACCTTTCTCAACCCGGCACCTTATAACAGGCAGCAATTTGATGTATCAATACACAATTACAATTAAAACCAATTGAAACATAACTTAATTAAAAAAAAAAACAACTTCCACAGTAAGTTTAGAAATATATCTCCATGCATATAGGGATCCTACTTAACATGGCTGGTTTTAAGGTACCACAATCAACTGGCTAAATGGAAACGTTGCCCTTAAGTGATCATTGAAATTTACTGGAATATCTTAGTTTCCTAGTATAAAACCGACAAGAATAAAGCTATAAAAAGCTTGCCTTTCAGAATAGCCAGAGGAGGTTAGCCCAGGAGACAGTACCTTAGGTCAGATCATATAACTGTGTGACTGCTGATGTGGCTATATTCAGAATGCAGAATTAAAATCAACTGTCTTTTTAAATGCCTCATGCCTTGTATATGAATTTACTCTGAGGCTTGGAGGCCTGGGGCATGATGCAACCACTCAATGCAAGGGATTCCTATGCCACTGTGTGGATGCCCTTAAACATGTTTGAAATGTTTAAAAACATACCTCATTTGTTTGTTTTTTTCAGAATAACACTGATATGAGTTTGATGGCAAACAATATTTTCCTTACCAGTACACAAGAACAGTATGTTTCATGAACTTGGTCAATGTATTGGTTTCAAAGAGGAGAGGAATGTCCAAGATTACATACCGATGACCTGAAAAAACAGAAGTAAATATTCTATTGGGCACTGCAAAATATTAATTCTTCCTCCATTCCAAACTGAAAGTTTTAGGTAAAGCTTGAGAAAATATGCAAATAAATAACATGATCCTCATCCCCGGATCCTCTTCCCCGATAATTTATATTGTCCTATCTCCCTGCGCCACCGAGGAGCCCCCGGTGGCACAGTGGGTTTAACCCCTGTGCCGGCAGGACTGAAGACCGACAGGTCGCAGATTCGAATCCGGGAAGAGGCGGATGAGCTCCCTCAACCAGCTCCAGCTCCTCGTGCGGGGACATGACAGAAGCCTCCCACAAGGATGATAAAAACATCAATTCATCCGGGCGTCCCCATGGCAATGTCCTTGCAGACGGCCAATTCTCTCACACCAGAAGCGACTTGCAGTTTCTCAAGTCGCTCCTGACATGACAAAAAAAAAAATCTCCCTGTATTTAAAAAAAATTATCATTGAATTTGGCCCTGCCCAGTCTAATCCTCTGTGTTTTTAATGTTTTGATTTGATTTTGCTGTGTTGCTTATTATATTGGTTTTGTATTTTATGTATTTTATGTTTTGATTTTGTTATGCTTTTGTATTATATTGTGTTTACTGTATTGATGGGCGTGGCCTCATGTAAGTTGCACCGAGTCCCCCTGGGGGAGATGGAGCAGGGTATAAATAAATTATTATTATTATTATTATTATTATTATTATTTTATTCCTGTGGAGGATAATGAAGGACTGAATTTGGACTGGGTTTTATATACCGACCAGGTACTATTGTGGTCCATCACTCCAGCCTAACAGAAGCCTCTTCACAACTAATCCTATGTATGATTTTGTGCAATACAAAGAAAGTAAATAATCCTCTATCTGATGTAGTTTTTAAGATTCAGGTCTTAAATTAGCTTTGTTTCCCACTGCCCAATATGAATTTTTGGAATCAAGATACTTAGTTCTTCCTCTCCTCACCTCTACCAATAGGGACAACCTCTATTTTTAACTCAGGAAAGCCTGTAAAGCCTCATGATCAATATTCAATTGCTAGTCCCAAGCTGAAGCAGACATAGTGAATTAATAGAACTTACATGTGTTCTAATTTACTATGTTCCGATCATTTAATTCACAGGGGAGGCATGTTAGAGTCACATGTAGCTCTTTCGGTCATTCAAGCACTATAACCTATACAGTAGAATCATAGAATCAAAGAGTTGGAAGAGACCTCATGGGCCATCCAGTCCAACTCCCTGCCAAGAAACAGGAATATTGCATTCAAATCACCCCTGACAGATGGCCATCCGGCCTCTGTTTAAAAGCTTCCAAAGAAGGAGCCTCCACCACACTCCGGGGCAGAGAGTTCCACTGCTGAACGGCTCTGACAGTCAGGAAATTCTTCCTCATGTTCAGATGGAATCTCCTCTCTTGTAGTTTGAAACCATTGTTCCGCGTCCTAGTCTCCAGGGAAGCAGAAAACACGTTTGCTCCTTCCTCCCTGTGACTTCCTCTCACCTATTTATACATGGCTATCATATCTCCTCTCAGCCTTCTCTTCTTCAGGCTAAACATGCCCAGCTCTTTAAGCCGCTCTTCATAGGGCTTGTTCTCCAGACTCTTGATCATTTTAGTCGCCCTCCTCTGGACACATTCCAACTTGCCCAGAATTGGACACAGTATTCCAGGTGTGGTCTAACCAAGGTGGAATAAAGGGGTAGCATGACTTCCCTGGATCTAGACACTACACTCCTATTGATGCAGGCCAAAATCCCATTGGCTTTTTTTGCCACCACATAACATTGTTGGTTCATGTTTAACTTGTTGTCCACGAGGACTCCAAGATCTTTTTCACACATACTGCTGTCGAGCCAGGCGTCCCCCATTCTGTATCTTTGCATTTTGTTTTTTCTGCCTGAGTGGAGTATCTTGCATTTGTCACTGTTGAATTTCATTTTGTTAAGTTTTGGCCCATCTCTCTAATCTGTCAAGATCGTTTTGAATTCTGCTCCTTTGTTTCCCACTGCCCAATATGAATTTTTGGAAACGAGATACTACTTAGTTCTTCCTCTCGTCACTTCTACCAATAGGGATAACCTCTATTTTTAACTCAGGAAAGCCTGTAAAGCCTCATGATCAATATTCAATTGCTAGTCCCAAGCTGAAGCAGACATAGTGAATTAATAGAACGTACACGTGTGCTAATTTACTATGTTCCAATCATTTAATTCACAGGGGAGCCATGTTAGATCCTAAAGTCACATGTAGCTCTTTTAGTAATTTTCATGACCCTCAAGCACTATAAACTATACCAGGGGTCCTCAAACTTTTTAAACAGAGGGCCAGGTCACAGTCCTTCAAACTGTTGGAGGGCCAAATTATAATTTGAAAAAAGCATGAATTAATTCCTTTGCACACTGCACGTATCTTATTTGTAGTGCAAAACACATTTAAAAACAATACAACAATGAAAATGAAGAACAGTTTTAATATATGTAAACTTATTAGCATTTCAGTGGGAAGTGTGGGCCTACCTTTGGCTGATGAGATAAGATTGTTGTTGTTGTGTGTTTTCAAGTCATTTCAAACTTAGGTTGACCCTGAGCGAGGGCTGAGTAAATGACCTTGGAAGGCCGTATCCAGCCCCTGGGCCATAGTTTGAGGACCCCTGACCTATACAGTACCTGGCTGAAAACTAATAGTGGGCTGTTAACTCCTGGCAACCTCAAATACCTCTTTTAAAAGGTTGCAAGTTCCTCTGAAGATGCCAGTCACAGATGCAGGCAAAACGGTTGGGTTTCATAATAATATAAATAATAATAACTTTATTTTTATACCCCGACAACCATCTTCCAAAGGGGACTCAGGGCGGCTTACAAGGGACAAGCCCAAAAATTACAAATAGAACACAACCAATTAAAAACATCAGATAAAATATAAAGACAATCACAACTGTAAACAATATCAAAACAATATGGCTGAAAAAAAGAACATCCCTGACTTCACAAGTCTCCTCAAGGAGTAGTTAGCTTAGATAGATTAGAGCAGGGGTCCTCAAACTTTTTAAACAGATGGCCAGGTCACAGTCCCTCAAATTATTGGAGGGCCATATTATAATTTGAAAAAAACATGAATGAATTCCTATGCACACTGCACATATCTTATTTGTAGTTCAAAGAACACTTAAAAACAATACATTAATAAAATGAAGAATAATTTCAACAAATATAAACTTCTTAATATTTCAATGGGAAGTGTGGACCAGCTTTTGGCTGATGAGATAGGATTGTTGTTGTTGTTGTTGTTGTGTGCTTTCAAGTCATTTCAGGATTAGGTTGACCCTGAACGAGGGCCGGGTAAATGACCTTGGAGGGCCATATCCGGCCCCTGGGCCATAGTTTGATGACCCCTGGATTAGAGTGAGGGATTCCTTCCACAAATTCCTTTTGCATGCCTTTTCTCAAAAGCAGGCTTACTCATCTTGCATGCCACTATCTCCTCCCCCTTTGAATACTTAGCAATATGATCTCTTTAGGGAAAACGTAACTTCCACTTTAAAGGTATTTTTATTGCCCTGGCAAGGCCATGTGGTCAGTTCTCCATCTTGGCCTCACACTTCTTCCTTTGTTCTGCCAGAGGCACCTTGCCATTGTCTAGGCAAGATGTAGTAAATATAGCTATTTTGTTATTTTTCCTTTCCTTAGAAGATAACTCAGTGAAGCTAGTTAGCTCCAAGAACCTTTCCTATCAAGAATGGATTTTTTTTGTCTTTAATAAACATATTATGTTTCGATCCTATGAATTTGTGGATCTGCAATCCTGTTCCATCCTGTTGAATGCAAACCAATCCTTGCTCTTTACCCGTAAGTTTCTGCTGGTTATGAACTGTGCTTCTGGCACTCTGCTATATTTTGTGGAATTGCCCCCAAGTGAGGGTTATTTTTGAGCCTAACAGCTCCTGATTCCCAACAAAAACATCAGGAGAAAATGCTGCTAGAAGATGTCCGTATAACCCAGAAACCACACAACACCCTAGTGATTCCAGCCATGAAAGTGTTATACTTCCTACTGAACTATTTAAACTTTCAAAAACACAGCATACCCCCATTACCAATGGCTTTGGTACTTATAATCCCCAGCAAAATGTCCTCAGAAGCACTTTAACTATTCTTTGGGTTGCTCTCCCTTCATTTCTTTCAGATACATCCTTCCTCTGTTCATGCCCAGTGTTTATTTTTTAAATTTTAAATTATTACATTTGGCCCGGCCATAGGTTTTTAAATCCTTGTGTGTTACTGTTTATATGTGAGTTATATTAATTGTATTGTTTTTGCTTATTGTTTTTTGTTTTATTGATGTGTTGTCGGGCTTGGCCTCATATAAGCCGCTCCGAGTCCCCTTAGGGAGATGGTGGTGGGGTATAAATAAATAAATTATTATTATTATTATTATTATTATTATTATTATTATTATTATTAATTATGTTTTCACATACCCACTCTCCAAAAATATTCCTGCTTGGAAGTGTTTTCGGATTTTTTCGGATGTCCAGTGCAATTCTATGATATGCTTCTGGATGAAATATAACCAAAATATAGGGTTCAATTCTATCTGTGGTTTCAGGTATCCACAGGACATGTTGGAACGTACCCTTTGTGAATACAGGGGTACTATTTTTCAACTATGAAAATAGACTTTTCAACACGTTGCTCTTTTTGTTGTATTTTGGGGAGGGTTGGAAGGCTCTGAAGCAGCAAATTGCCACACAGACCTATAGCAGTTGCATTGCGACGCCTCTTTAAGTCAGTCTGTCTTAGAGTAGCAACTGGGGGCTCTTCCACACTGCCCTTTATCCCAGAATATCAAGGCAGGAAATCCCACAATATCTGCTTTGAACTGGGTTATCTGAGTCCACACTCAGATAATGTGGGATATCCTGCCTTGATATTCTGGGATATAGGGCTGTGTGGAAGGGCCCTGAATTTTGCTCGTGTATATTAGTAGTACTTTTTTATATTGTGATGATGATTTACTTGGAGCTAATTCACTCCAAGTAAATTTAATTATTGTTGAAGGCTTTCATGGCTGGAATCACTGGGTTGTTGTAGGTTTTTCGGGCTATATGGCCATGTTCTAGAAGCATTCTTTCCTGATGTTTCACCTGCAACTATGGCAAGCATCCTCAGAGGTTGTGTTTTTAATTAACTTAAAAACCTTCTGGTGTGAGGGTGGCATAGTTCTTTGGGTCTATAGAGACCCTGAGGAGAGCCATGGAGGTTGCCTTCCCCTTTTCCCGCATGGTTTCCTTTCTCATCTCTTAATGTGAGGAGGTTATGCTTTCCTTAGAAACAAGAGAGCACTCCTGTATTGCCTGGCTTGCCCTTAATAATTCCCAACTCCTTCTGGTACAGACATCCTTCTGTCCTGCCTCTAGACCTCCAAAGCAGCCAGTGATACTATCGCCCACTCGATTAGACAGGTTTGACAGCTGTATTTGTTACCAGTTTATCGGAAGAATGCAAGGGAAGGAACAGAAAGGCCCTGTTGAAATCCCAGCTGTCAAGCTATTATTTTACCTTATCAAGTTCAAAAGAGAGCTTTCATATGAGTGCCAGGGAGAGCAGGGGGTGCAAGGGAGCCGCGCGAGCATTTCAGAAGGTGTGACATTATGCACAATGCTTCCCAAAGACACTTTTGTGCCGGTGCTCTTTAAAGCCACGTTAAGGGAGCAGGAAAGCAAAGGGCAAGCATAAAGGAGGAGGAATTCTCAGGGTGTAAGAAGTGAGATGGACAGGCGCAAACAACGAGACACAAAGAGAGCAGCAATGATGCCTTTTCCAGCCCTTTCCCTCTCACTAGGAATGAAAAATCAATGTGCGGCAGGGAGAAGCATGCAACTTTTGTCGGCATGTATGCCCCAAGGATTCTGCATAACAAAATCAACCTCTCCAACAGCTTACCCAGCAGAAAGTATTTCAAGATCTGTTTTAGCATCTCCTTCTGGATCTCGGGATGAGTGATAGAGTTTAATAGTCGACGTTTTTCTGGCTGGGAGAAAACAATACTTCCAAGGGCTTCACGGTTGAGCTCTCCATTCTCCAATATAATCTCAGGACCAAATGAATGCACAATGCGCTGGTATGCTCGGAAGCTTGGCTGGACCACTGAGGAAAGAAAGCAAAACAACCTTGACATTAAAATACTACTAACGTTGCTTTCCATTTTTGTTTTGTTGTAGCAATGAAAAACCCGGCCTGGTGGTAAAGATCCCAACTTCTTGTTCAGAAGCCGAAAGTCAAGTTGGCTCACCCAAATTGCCAGAGTTATCAGATTTACTGCTCCTAGCAACAAAGCAACAGACTGGCAAATTACAACTTCAATAGTTGAGCTGCTAAAGAAGACCAGTGGTAAATCTAGATCCAATTTCCATGTGTGGGTGTGAAAGCTGGATACTGAAGAATGCTGACAAGAAGAAAATCAATGCATTTGAAATGTATTGTGGGAGGAATGTTCTGTGGATACCATAGACAGCTAAAAAATCAAATTAATAGGTCTTAGAGTAAATCAAGCCTGAACTTTCACTAGAATCTAAGATGACTTTAGACATGTCAGAAGGCCACCCCCTGGAAAAAGATGATAACACCACCAAACAATAGTTCTTGGTGACTTGGTTTTTAGGCCTGTTCCTGGGGTTATTTGGGGTGTTGATTTAGAAAATTGCATTGGATAGACCACATTCGTCCTAGTTTCTTAGATACAGTAATCATGATTTTCTATGGGTGAGCAGATGAAGACTGGTACATGGCATATGTTCTGTATCTCAAAAAACTAAAGCTGACTTTTGGAATCAACAGGTCAAATATACCCAGAAACAGAGCTAACATTTAAGGCATCAAAATGTCTGTTGGCCAACACACATGACAGGTGGATAGTCTCAAGCAAGCAAGTCGTGGTCCTATTTATTTATTTATATCATTTTTACCCTGCCCATATCAGCCCAAAGGCGATTCAGGGCGGCGAACAATTGGCACAATTCAATGCCATATATAAAATACATCAATAAAAATAGAACATCATATTACAATATATCTAAAAACATCAAACCAGCGAACAATAAAAATTTTAAAACTAGGTCTTCATATTCAGTCCTCATCCGTTCCATTGTCATTTTCCAATTGTCGTTCCGAGGTCATTTTCCAATTCAGGTTTATCTAATTAAGCTGAGGCTCCAAAAGCTTTCTCAAAGCGCCAAGTTTTCAGTTTTTTTCGAAAGCTTAAGAGGGAGGGGACCGATCTGATATCCTTGGGCAGGAAGTTCCCAGCCGATGGGCCACCACAGAGAAGGCCCTGTCTCTCGTCCCCGCCAGATGTGCTTGTGAAGCAGGTGGGATCGAGTGCAGGGCCTCCACCAACGATCTCAAAATTTTATACCTAATGTGGCTCTGAGACAAGACCAGAACTATTGTTAAGTAGAATGAGATTGCTGCCACCCTGGTACAATTTAAGTGTCACAAAAGGGCAGCAAATTGTTAAATATTTCATTTATTATTATTTACTAATTTATTTATTTATTATTCCTAAGATCTACAGAGCTACTCACAGGAACACCTCAGCAAGCAAAAGTCCAAAAGTAGCAGGTTAAAACCCAGAACCTCAATTGGTGGCTGGTACCAGATGAGAAACTCCCTCCTGGGCACACATAAGACTGGGAGAGTTGGAAAATGCTGAACGGAATGCACTCTGGCACCACAAGATGCAGAGCCAATCTTAGAAATGGGGCTATAAAGTGGAGTCCACGACATCCGAGTGTGGAGAAGAGCAAAACACAGACCACTTACTACAATGCAACCTGAGCCCTGCCATATGCACAATGGAGGACCTTCTTACAGCAGCACCAGAGGCACTCAAAGTGGCCAGCTTCTGGTCAAAGGAAATTTAGTACAATGCCATTGTTTTAACTTGTGGATTTTGCATGCATTATAACTATATTCTCAATTTGCTTCTGACCTGCTAATATTACAATACCTACCATACAATATTACAATAATATTACAGTATTATTGACTAAAATTGCAACACCTAGTTGTATTGTTGCTGCTAAACATGGAGAGAGGGCATTTATTGCATGGCTGCTTTACCTTGGGTAGCAAAATACCTAGCTGAACACTTGCCTGCAGAACTGAGGAAGATCTTTGCTAAGAAATGGAATGGCAGGCGTCATGGAACAGTACCCAATAATATTTCCTTTGAGAATTCAGTCTCTCTGAGATCTCCTATCTCTGTGTGGTGGGTTGCTTGTGAACAGCAGTCTGTCTCCAGTTCACTCATGCAGCAAATAATACTGGCTGCTTGTATAAAAAACCCACCTTGACGGGCGATCACATCAGCATCGATAACAGCACAGCCCAATTCCTGCAGTACAGCTACGACAGTGCTTTTCCCTGATGCAATGCCACCTGTCAGTCCCACCAAAAACATCCTCCCTGGAAAATAAAAAAAATAACAAAGGACAAGTAAAATCACTAATTAATTTATTTTAAAAAGAACCTTAGTACAACTTAAGACACAACTGAAGATCCATCTCTTTCAGCAAGCCTACCCAGTTATGAATTTTAGTCTATATTTCACTAGCCATCTCTTGCCACACGTTGCTGTGGCCCACATGGGGGTTCTGTGTGGGAGGTTTGGCCCAATTCAATTGTTGGTGGGGTTCAGAATGCTCTGTGATTGTAGGTGAACTATAAATCCCAGCAACTACAACTCCCAAATGTCAAGATTCTATTTTCCCCAAACTCCACCAGTGTTCACATTTGGGCATATTGAGTATTCGTGTAGAGTTTGGTCCAGATCCATCATTGTTTGAATCCACAGTGATCTTTGGATGTAGGTGAACTACAACTCCAAAACCAAAGGACACTGCCCACCAAACCCTTCCAGTATTTTCTGTTGGTCATGGGAGAACTGTGTGCCAAATTTGGTTCAATTCCATCGTTGGTAGGGTTCAGAATGCTCTTAGATTGTAGGTGAACTATAAATCCCAGCAACTACAACTCCCAAATGACAAAATCAATTTTTTTGAGTGAAGGACATACATTGGGTTGTTAGGTGTCTTGTGTCCAAATTTGGTGTCAATTGTCCAGTGGTTTTTGAGTTCTGTTAATCCCACAAACGAACATTACATTTTTATTTATATAGATTGGATTTTAACTTGTATTTTAACTTTGTTTCTTGTTGTATGTGTTTTAATAGTGTTTTATCTCTTGTTTTAACCATGTTGTATCCCACCCTGAGCCTCAGCGAAAGGCAGATAATAGATTTGCTATTATTATTATTACTATTATCATTGTTATTACAGTAAGAAGGGCATCCATAGGCATTGTGTCCATTTCCTGCACAGTGCTGGAACTTCCGCTAGAGCACCTTCACCAAGGAGCTTTATCCCTTTTTCTTTTTGAAGTCATCTAGAGAAAAAAATATTACAATTTCTCCAGGTTTCATTAGCAAATAACTCCTAACAGCAAGAAATGCTTTGTAATGTTCAGTCAAAATCTACCTCCTGTTTGGGACCTGCCTACCTGCGTGACCGCATCTCCGTCTATGAACCTGCACAGTCTCTTCGTTCATCTGGAGAGACCCTGCTCACGATCCCACCTGCGTCGCAAGCGCGGCTGGTGGGAACGAGGGACAGGGCCTTCTCTGTGGTAGCCCCCCGACTCTGGAATTCCCTCCCCAAGGACATCAGACAAGCCCCTACATTGGTAGTCTTTAGTAAGAGCTTGAAGACCTGGCTATTCCGGTGTGCCTTTCCAGAATAGGAAAATCTTAGCAAGAAAGTCCCAAAAGCACTTTATTAGAAATTAAGATTGTCCGCACATTGCACCTATCCAAAATCCTTATATATCACTCAGCATACTCAGCACTTTTTAATCTGTACCCAGTACATTTGCCCGGCCTAGTTTTATTGTGTCATGGTGTGCTGTTTTTACTGTTTACTGTTATTGCTTTAATGTTTTTGATTTGCTTTTGGTTTATATGTAATTGTTATATTGTTGTTTTATTGTGGCCTTGGCCTTTGTAAGCCGCATCGAGTCCTTCGGGAGATGCTAGCAGGGTACAAATAAAGATAATAATAATAATAATAATAATAATAATAATAATAATAATAATAAAACCATTAAACCAAGACCTCTTCTACGCTGCCATATAAAATCCAGACTATCTGCTTTGATAATCTGGATTATATGGTACTGTAGCAGAGGCCCTAGTCTGACCTTTTGAGGCCAGCTTTTCCAGTTGTTTCTCTTCAATCCTTATTATTATTATTATTATTATTATTATTATTATTATTGTTATTATCATTATACCCCAATCAGCCTTTTGCTGACCAGGAGCACCTCTGTCTTGTCAGGATTCAATTTCAATTTATTAGCCCTTGTGTGCATTTCATTTTTCTGGCCAGAAATGTAGAATTTTTATTTTGTTCTCAGTTAAACTTCGTTCTGTTTTTAAATTTCAGCCCCATTTCCTAATTTATCAAGGTCTTTTTGAATTGTGTTTGTATCTTCCAAAATGTTATCTATCCCTTCTGGAGTGTTGAATGTCCGTATGGGCCCTCAAGTCACATGATCGATTATGGCAAATTCATGGATGGGTGCGAGAATGGTGAAATTGGGCTGTTTTTATCAATGACTTCAGGTGCATCTCCACTGTAGAATTAATGCAGTTTGGCACTACAGTGACGTGCCAGCATTCTTGAGCAGAGAAGGCTGAATACTTAGTAAAATTCTTAGTAAAGGCTCTTCTGAGGTGCCTTCGGAGAGTGACCACTCAACCCATTTGTTTGTTTCCACCTACAATTGTCCTTGTGATAAGGCAGCTTCCCCTGTCCTTTATAAAGGCCAAGCCCCACGGCTCCTCCTTCTTGGGTCCCTCTCTCACAAATACACAAATGGAGAACAAGCCCTATGAGGAGTGGCTTAAGGAGCTGGGCATGTTTAGCCTGAAGAAGAGAAGGATGAGAGGAGATGATAGCCATGTATAAATATGTGAGAGGAAGCCACAGGGAGGAGGGAGCAAGCTTGTTTTCTGCTTCCCTGGAGACTAGGACACGGAACAATGGCTTCAAACTACAAGGAAGGAGATTCCATCTGAACATGAGGAAGAACTTCCTGACTGTGAGAGCCGTTCAGCAGTGGAACTCTCTGCCCCGGAGTGTGGTGGAGGCTCCTTCTTTGGAGGCTTTTAAACAGAGGCTGGATGGCCATCTGTCTGGGGTGCTTTGAATGCAATATTTCTAATATAATGTAATACAATATAATACTAGTAATAATAATACAATATTATAATTATATATTTACATTACATGTGATATTACTAATAATATTACTATATAATGGTATAGTGCAATATAGTAATATATAATACTGATATTGTACTATGCTAATAATATAATATATTGTATGAAAATATATATTGTAAGCCGCTCTGAGTCCCCTTCGGGGTGAGAAGGGCGGCATATAAATGCCGCAAATAAATAAGTAAATAAATATTCCTGCTTCTTGGCAGGGGGTTGGACTGGATGGCCCATGAGGTCTCTTCCAACTCTTTGATTCTATGATTCTATGAAATACACTTTTTATTCCTATCTCACCCAAGGTTTTAACTTTTTAACATTTTATGTCATACATCTGGCCCACCCTTTGTGTTTGATTTTCCTATGCTATTTTATACTGTTTATTTTATTTATTTTATATATTTTGTCATGATGTGTTTTTCTGTTATTTTGTGTCTGATTAGTAAAGGTAAAGGTTGTCCCCTGACATTAAGTCCAGTCATGTCTGACTCTGGAATGTGGTGCCCATCGCCATTTCTAAGCCGAAGAGCCAGCGTTGTCCATAGACACCTCCAAGATCATGTGGCCGGCATGACTGCATGGAGCACCGTTACCTTCCCACCGGAGTGGCACCTATTGATCTACTCACATTTGCATGTTTTCGAACTGCTAGGTTGGCAGAAGCTAGTGCTAACAGCGGAAGCTCACGCCGCTCCCCGGAATCGAACCTGCGGCCTATGTTATATTATTTTTGGGCTTGGCCTCATATTAGCCGCCCCGAGTCCCCTTTGGGAGATGGTGGCAGGTTATAAATAAAGTTTTTTTATTATTATTAATATTAAAACTACAACTCACAGGATCCCATAGCATTGAGCCATGGCAATTTAAGCGGTGTCAAAGTGTGTTAAACCTACAGTGTGGATGCACTCTTAGATGCTGGGTTAGAGAGAATTGTTATCAATATTGCAGATGATAAAACACTGAGCCTCATTATCTGTCTGATCTAGGACGTTAAGCAGGGTCAGCCCTGGTGGGAGTTTGGATGGGAGACCCTCAATATTCCTTTCCAGCGAAAACCCTAAGAAATCCAAGAGGTCGCCATAAATCGGGAGGAGACTAGAAGACACACAGATTCCTCCAAGACTAAACTACAATGTTACGAAACTCTGCACGTGATCAGGAGCTCAATCGAGCCTCCTCCAAGCCAGGGCTTGGGACAGAAGCAAACTTGCCCTTCGATGTTATATAAAATGACTAAAAAGTCTGGTTGAGGCTTTCCCAGAGCGTAGAAGGATCCCAAAACTCACTCACCTGCTTGCTCAGCTGCTGAACACTGAGCAATACTCTTTCTCCTGCGAGCTTCAACCTTGCCTCACTTTCCTGACTTCTGATTGGCGCAGAAGAGTCACGCGGAGGAAAACGTCCAATCGCGGTTGCCTTATCTGGACTGTACCTTCCTATTAGTGAAGCCAACAGCAGGGATTTACCAAGACAGGCGGAAGTAGGCAACAAAGGGGAAAATAGCAATGGGCGTGGAGGGCTGTTTTTCTACTTTGGAATTAACGCGATTTGAACTGCGTTAATTCTACAGTGTAGACAACCACTTGATTGCCATGACTCAATACTATGGAATCTTGGGAAGATTTAGTTTGCTAAGACATCACTCTTTGACAGAGAAGGCTGAAGATCTTGTTAAACTACAACTCGCATGATTCCAGAGCAGTTCAAGTGAAATCAAACTGTATTAATTCTGCAGTGTAGATGTGTCCTCAGGCTGGATCTACAGTGCCAAGCAATTATATGCATTATATGGTTAGTAAGCAGGTACTGGCAAATCCCCCCCCCCCCAGGTGTTTTTGACTTCAACTCCCATAATTGGCTGTTAGGAATTGTGGGAGTTGAAGTCCAAAACACCTGGAGGGCTGAAGTTTGCCCATACTTGGTAGAGCCATTTATTTATTTATTTATAGCTTTTATATTCCGCCCTTCTCACCCCGCAGGGGACTCAGGGTGGATTACAGTGTACACATATATGGCAAACATTCAATGCCAATTTTTGACATACAAACATATACAGACATACACAGAGGCTATTTAACTTTTTCTGGCCGCCAGGGGAGCTGTCGCTTTCATCGTCCATCTGCGACACTGATGAAGCACTTCCGCATTCCCCGCATGCTTCCCCGCTGGAATGCTTTGCTGGAGTCTTCTTTATGGCCTCATAAATCAGTTGATTTAGCCTCCCCACACTTTTTGAGGTGGTACCTAATTTGCCTTAGACTGCGAGAAGATCCAACCAGTCCATCCTCCAGGAAATAAAGCCCGGCTGCTCATTGGAGGGAAAGATACTAGAGACAAAGTTGAAGTACTTTGGCCACATCATGAGGAGACAGCAAAGCCTAGAGAAGACAATTATGCTGGGGAAAGTGGAAGGTAAAAAGAAGAGGGGCCGACCAAGGGCAAGATGGATGGATGGCATCCTTGAAGTGACTGGACTGACCTTGAAAGAGCTGAGGGTGGTGATGGCCGACAGGGCTCTGGCGTGGGCTGGTCCATGAGGTCACGAAGAGTCGGAGATGACTGAACAAATGAACAACAACACCTAATTTTCCTACTTGTCAGATGCAACTGTCTTTCGGGTTGCAAAGGTCGACAACAGGCTACACACAATTGGTTGGAAACCCACTCCAACCCGGGCTGGCTTCGAACTCATGACCTTTTGGTCAGAGTGATCTTAATGCAGCTGACGCTCAGCCAGCTGCGCCACAATCCCGGTGCCCGATATAATGCCCTTTGAACTACAGTACTGTACATGGATCTACACTAATCATTTAATGTTTTTCCACTACAAATATCAATTAAGAATGGCAGGGCTATGTGATGGCCATAGACCAGGGGTCCTTAAACTAAGGCCCGAGGGCCGAATACGGCCCTCAAGGTCATCTACCAGGCCCTCGCTCAGGGTCAACCTAAGTCTGAAACAACTTGAAAGCACACGACAACAACAACAGTCCTATCGTCAGCCAAAAGCAGGCCCACAATTCCCACTGAAATACTAATAAGTTTATATATTTTTAAATTGTTGTTCATTTTAATTATTGTATTATTTTAAGTGATTTTTGCACTACAAATAAGATATTTGCAGTGTGCATAGGAATTCATTCCTGTTTTTGTCAAATTATAATCTGGCCCTCCAACAGTTTGAGGGACTATGACCTGGCCCTCTGTTTAAAAAGTCTGAGGATCCCTGCCATAGTCTATTAGCCTTCCTCCTCTGTTTTATAATAATCGACCACCAAAGACAAAGGGAAGGGAGGAAAATCAAACAAGTTTTCTGATATGCTATCCGGTGTTGCCAAGTGGTTTGAGCGTTGGACCTTTGCCTGGGGAAACCCAGGTTTAAATCCTACTAAGCCTCTAAACACAAGAGTGACCTTGGCAGTAGTATCTCCCCGATTAATTGTGATAAGAGAAGGGTGGCAGGTTAGGAGATCACCAGGAATGTAGCTCTTGAGTTTTTGAAAAAAGAGGGGTGTGTTCAAAAACCTTAAACAGTTCACAATTTTAATTTTGTGACTATAAACTACTACCTTGCTCAATATAAAAGTCATATTTTGTGATACTTTATTTTGTTTGTATTTGTTAAACTATTAACAGTTCCCACCTCAATTTTTCATCCAGAAAGCACTTTTTTCAGATTTGTGTGGTTACCCAAAGTCTTGACCAATGCTTACAAATATTTAAATTGACACAGCTCCTCACACTGATAAAAATGTGTCAGCCACTAATCTAGTTGTAATCCTATACACATGTGCTTTGGAGTAAATCCAATTGAGCCTCGTAGAATTTACTGCCAGGTAAACATGTGTAGGAATGCACAGACTGGATGGTTCTCAATTTGTTCTGGAATCAATGTAGACATACTATCAGTTGTTTGAGCTCTTGGCTGGGTAGTTAGTGGCAATCTTTATAATTAAAAAAATACCTAAGCACTTAATTGTATGAAGGTGAGGCAGAATAACACTGAAGCATAACATCATATAATCAAGCAATAATCAACAAAACAAGTAGAACCAGGGAAGAGCCCATAGACAGTTGAATAGTAATCTACAAAGTGTCTAAATTGTGTCTCAATAAATAGATGTTATGTGCAATTGTCTACAGTTTCCACACTTGTATGCAATATGCACATCTATGTCGCGGGATGACTAACCACTATTTCCTTTTATCATCTTAATGTCTACAAAGAAATGTCAATGTTATTGTAGGCTGTATCAATACAAGTATAGTGTCTCTAGATTGAGGGAAGTAATTACACTACTTCATTTCACTTTGCTCAGACCTCACCTAGAATAATGTTGTGTTCAATTCTGAGCACCACAATTCAAAAAGGATATTGACAATTCAAAGAGGATATGGTCAAAGATCTGGAAGCCAAGTTCTATGAGGAACGACAGAGAAAGCTGGGTATCTAAAATTACAACAGCAAAACAGAAGAGAGGAAACAACCAGGCACATCTTAACACCTCTCAACAAAAGATTTTCCCAGGCTCAGGCAGGCCTTCAAATGCTAATGAAGGTGGTCAGTTGAAACAGTCACACCTAGCTCTAGCAGAGAAGAGCTCTTTGCCCCACCCCAGCCATTCCACAGATATATAAACCCATTGTCCTATTTCCAACAGACCTCACTACCTCTGAGGATGCTTGCCATAGATGCAGGCGAAACGTCAGGAGAAATGCCTCTAGAACATGGCCCTATAGCCCGAAAAAACCCACAAGAACCTAGTGATTCCAGCCATGAAAGCCTTCGACAATACAAAGCTGGGTATGTTTAAAAGTTCATAAGGAACATAATAGATGTGTTCAAGTATCTGAGAGGATGTCACGTTGAAGGTGGAGCAAGCTTGTTTTCTATTGCCGTAGAGACTATAACACAAAGCAATGGGTTCAAACTTCAAGGAAAGAGATGGACCTAAACATTAGGAAAATCTCCTTGATAGTAAGAGCTGTTCAAAAGTGGAATATGCTGCCTGAGTGTCCTATAGTCTCCTTCTATGAAGGTTTTTAAACAGAAGCTGAGTGACCATCTGTTTGGGAGTGTTTTGATTGGGTGTTCCCACATGGCATGGGTTTGGACTGGATAGCCCTTGTGGTCTCTTCCAATTCTATGAAGGTTAGAAGTCTTGGAAAGCTCATGATTCTCATCACTCTGTTGTTCAAGCTGGTGAAATATACCAGAAACCACACCCTTTAATCTAGAAACCTCACATTAAATTAAGTATACTCTACTCAATCTAGTTTTCAATCAGCACTAATTGTGCCCTGGATTAACCTCATTGGCTATCCTGCCACTACATAAAGCTACAGGATCTAAATAGTATTTACTTTTGTGGTATACTCTGCACATGCCCTGACACATCTTTTACTTTGTTAATGCTTTACAAACCATTTGGGGTGCATCTATGCTGTCGGTTTAATATAGTTTGACACCACTTTAACTGCTGCGATTCAGTGCTATGGGATCCTGGGATTTGTAGTTTGATAATGTCTTTAGCCTTTTCTGCCAGAGTGCTGATGCCTCACCAAACTACAACTCCCAGAATTCCATAGCATTGAGCTATGGCAATTGGAATGGTATCAAACAGCATTAATTCTAGAGTTTAAAGATGAATGAATTTAGGAATGAGTTTAAGTGCAAAAAAACAGGATCAGTATGTTCCTTATTCAAAGCAAGACTGGACCCTTATATTAATTGGGCACAACCATCAAGTGAAATTCACTGCATAGCCATCTTCCTCAAAAGAAGTCATGCTGTGCAGCAATTGTACTGCTGTACATAAATAAACCTGATTGGTTTAAATGGGACTTAATCCCAGGTAGATTACAGAATTCTAGGTTAATTCCAAAACAAACACTAAGAGCCCTTTCGCATTAAACTATTAAAGCAATATGCGTCCGTTTTAAGTCCCATGACAACATCCTATGGAATACTGGGATTTGCAAATCAATGAGATATTAAAAGAGCCAATAATCTAAAATATTCCTCCCTAAACTGCCAGTGCCGTGATCCCAGTTAAAGTGGAATCCTAGTGCCATAGCTGTATAGAGCAGAACTTTCCAAAGTGCATGTCGAGACACATTCGTGTGTTGGCTGCAGTGAGTAGGTGTATCGTATGAACATAATGAGAAATGACAAAAATCTTGGAAATGTATATTATCTTAAAAATAATATATTTTTAAAAATAGAAATGACAGGTTTTGATGAGATATGTCATATCTCCACACCTTTCATTATGAGAATGTATGTATAAGTCCATATCTCTTAGAAGGGGTTGGTTTAACCTCCCAATTACTTGTAAAACTGGATTATTGTGTCATGAAATGATGTTATGTCTAAAAAGTGTGACACCAACATGAAATGCTTGGGAAGCTCTGGTATAGTGTGAAAGGGCTCTAACACAACATCTAGCAGGATCAATCAAGGCAACACAATAGATCATGCTAGATAACATACAGTGAGGGGATGCATAATTGCCCTAGAATTCCTTCTTTAATCTATTTTTCCAGCTAACGGGTCAGTGTCTCTCTCTGCAATTATAAAGAAACATGGAAGTTAACTCACAGCCAATTCATACATATCAACGCACACAAGATGCAGCTACACAGTAGAATTAATGTAATTTGACACTTTAACTTCTCAGGTTCAATGCTATGGAATCATGGCAGCTGTAGTTTTACCAAATCTAACGTATGCATTTAAACATACATTTATTGGTATGGAATATTTTAATATGTTTTAATCTCATTGCTGTCTTTTAATAGTCTTGTTTTTATTTTTTATTACATTTTATTGTGCTATATAATGAAATCAACATTCACTTTCACTTTATCATGCCACATATATTCTTGCTAACCTTATTTCAGATCATGTCACTCCAGTGTTCACATCCTAGTATCACATTCATTTTCATCACAGAGAGCCTGTCCAAAAGCAACAGTTGTAATTTATAATAAAATAATTTTTAAAAATATTTTTTTAACCTGCCCTCTCTCCCCGAAGGGACTCAGGGCGGCTTCCAAAAATGAAAATGGCAAACATTCAATGCCGATTTATTATGATCTACACAGTCAAAGACTTTAGAATAGTCAATAAAACAGAAATAGATGTTTTTTTTAAACTCCCTGCCTTTCTCCATTATCCAGCGGATATTGGCAATTTGGTCTCTCCTTCCTCTGCCTTTTCTAAACACAGCTTGTACATCTGGCAACTTTCTCTCCACGATAGAGTCTAGTATAGTAATATTTGTCAGTGTAATGATTTCTGCTTCATTGACTATTCTAAAGCCTTTGACTGTGTGGATCATAATAAATTGTGGCAAGTTCTTGGTGGGATGGGCATACCAAGCCACCTTGTCTCTCTCCTGAGGAATCTGTACAAGGACCAAGTAGCAAGTCAGAACTGACCACGGAACAACAGACTGGTTCAAGATTGGGAAAGGCGTACGGCAAGGCTGCATACTCTCACCCAACCTTTTTAACTTGTATGCAGAACACATCATGCGATGTGAGGGGCTTGATGAATGCAAAGCTGGGGTGAAAATTGCTGGAAGAAACATTAACAACCTCAGATATGCAGATGACACCACTCTGATGGCCGAAAGCGAGGAGGAGCTGAGGAGCCTTCTAATCAAGGTGAAAGAAGAAAGCGCAAAAGCTGGGTTGCAGTTAAACATAAAAAAAACCAAGATTATGGCAACAAGAATGATTGACAACTGGAAAATAGAGGGAGAAAATGTGGAGGCCGTGACAGACTTTGTATTTCTAGGTGCAAAGATTACTGCAGATGCAGACTGTGGCCAGGAAATCAGAAGACGCTTACTTCTTGGGAGGAGAGCAATGTCCAATCTCAATAAAATAGTAAAGAGTAGAGACATCACACTGGCAACAAAGATCCGCCTAGTCAAAGCCATGGTATTTCCTGTAGTAACCTACGGATGTGAGAGCTGGACCTTAGGGAAAGCTGAGCGAAGGAAGATAGATGCTTTTGAACTGTGGTGTTGGAGGAAAGTTCTGAGAGTGCCTTGGACTGCGAGAAGATCCAACCAGTCCATCCTCCAGGAAATAAAGCCCGACTGCTCACTGGAGGGAAGGATACTAGAGACAAAGTTGAAGTACTTTGGCCACATCATGAGGAGACAGAAAAGCCTAGAGAAGACAATTATGCTGGGGAATGTGGAAGGCAAAAGGATGAGGGGCTGACCAAGGGCAAGATGGATGAATGGCATCCTTGAAGTTACTGGACGTTCGTGGGGTTCAGAACACACTTTGATGGTAGGTGAACTATAAATCGCAGTAACTACAACTCGCAAATGTCAAGGTCTGTTTTCCCCAAACTCCATCTGTGTTCATATTTGGGCATATGGAATATTCGTGCCAAGTTTGGTCCAGATCCATCATTGTTTGAGTCCATGGTAGTCTCTGAATGTAGGTGAACTACAACTCCCAAACTCAAGGTCAATGCTCACCAAACCCTTCTAGTGTTTTCTGTTGGTCATGGGAGTCCTGTATGCCCACGTTGGTTCAATTCTATCATGCTATTTGATTGTAGGTGAACTATAAATCCCAGCAACTACAACTCCCTATCTATCTATCTATCTATCTCTATCAATATCTATGGCTGAATGGCTCTTTGTCAGGAGGACTTTGATTACGTTTTCTTGCCCTGATCAAGGGAGTTGGATTGGATGGCCTTAAGTATTTTCTGTTGGTCATGAGGGTTCTGTGTGGGAAGTTTGCCTCGATTCTGTCGTTGGTGAGGTTCAGAATGCTCTTTGATTGTAGGTGAACTGTGAATCGCAGTGACTACAACTCCCAAATGTCAAGGCCTATTTCCTCCAAACTCCATCTGTGTTCATATTTGGGCATATTGAGTGCTTGTGCCAAGTTTGGTCCAGATCCATCATTGAGTCCACAGTGCTCTCTGGATGTAGGTGAACTACAACTCCCAAACTCAAGGTCAATGCCCACCAAACCCTTCCAGTATTTTCTGTTGGTCAAGGGAGTTCTGTATGCCCACGTTGGTTCAATTCTATCATGCTATTTGATTGTAGGTGAACTATAAATCCCAGCAACTACAACTTCCAAATGACAAAATCATAATTTTTTGAGTGATGGTCACTCCTTGTGTTGTGAGATGTTTTGTTGCCAAATTTGGTGTGTTTTCATTCATTGGTTCTTTTGTTTTTAAGATAGATAGATAGATAGATAGATAGATAGATAGATAGATAGATAGATAGATAGATAGATAGATAGATAGATAGATAGATAGATAGATAGATAGATAGATAGATAGATAGATAGATAGAAGAGGTGAGAGTGAAAGCCCTCCCCTTTCTTGACACGCAGTGTATCTCCTTGGGCAAAATTACTGGGGAAGGGAGCCTCAATGGGAAGTTTTAAGGGGCGGGCCAATCCCTACAGAGAGGTTAAATTGAGCTGTTCCTGAGCGCATGCTGCTTCCATTCCCTTGAAGAAGGAATCTCCTGAACTCTTCAAAGGTGACCACAAATCCCATAAGGCTTTGCGCCGGGGCGCCCAATCGCAGCCGCGTTTCGGAGGCTGCGCATGCGCACCGGCCCGCGAAGGCTTCCCATTGCCAAGATGGCGGACGACGGTGATACAGCAGTGAGGCGGCCGTCGACAGAAGAGAACGAGCACCAGCACTGCAGCGACTGTGAGAATGAGGAAGAGCACAACTACAACCGAGGGTGAGCGCCTGCCAGGCCTGCCCGGGCTGGGCCTCTTTGCCGTTTCTGAGGCGGAGGGGAGCCGCCCTCATGCAAGCGGAGAATGGGGGACTGGAGCAAAGTAAACTCGCCCCTGCCTCCTTCCCCTGTCTGAGGCTTGATTGGCCGAGGGGAGTGGGCGCTGCGTCCTGAGTGGTCGGTCGCGGTGCCACTCCAAAAGGGAGAGCCAATGGGTACCCACCCGTTGCCGACAGCGGCATGACTGGGTCAACACACTTGTCTGGCCTATCTCGAGACTAGGTGCATCTCCACTGTAGAATTAATGCGGCTTGACACGTCTTTAACTGCCGTTCCTCAAGTCTATGGCATCTTGGGAGTTATAGTTTGGTCAGACATTAGGACTATTAAGAAGACAAGGCTAAAGTCATTGCAAAACTACAGCTCCCACATTTTAATTATAATTACAGTTCCCACATTTTAATTGCATTTAAATAAGAACAATAATATATTTTATTTATTACCTGCCTGTCCTAATAACTCGAGGCAGGGGACAACAAATTCAAAAACAAATGAACATAAAATACAATACATTACTAAAATATATATACACATATATTTTCATAATATTGAGCCTTGATTAAAATGGAATCAATCTGCATTAATTCTACAGTATAGATGCATATATAAGCTACCTATATCATCATCCCTGCAGCGTGAGGGTACAAACAGAGAGATAAAATGCAAGATACATAATACAAGAGACACACAGCTGAAATGCAGGTTAAATTCAATAAAATGCAGATGAAAATTCACAAGTTAGAAGTTTATGGCATCTTGGGAGTT